ATGGTTGCATGTTACTTCAAACTTTGCTATCTTGCCACTGCTCTTTTCTGTTGTGCTCTGTTCCTTTCAGTTCACCTAGAAGACAGAGCCTATCTGAGACAACAAGGAACGCTGAATAATAGTCTGACAAACCAAACCGTTAGCATCAACAGGTGACCACTAAGCTACCGCCCTGTTAAATTTTATTCATGCCCATACTGACCTACCTAAATTGTCCCACCGAATGATTTAACTGTCTGCATCAGTTAACCAAAATTTTCATACACGGCATAGCCCATATTATAGCTCGTTAAACGTAGAACGAAATTGCACTGGTCTCTCTGCGTGTGTTGTGTTCCTCTCGCCCACAGTGAAGCCAGTTTGTTCCGGTCCTACAGTCCCACAACCCGCTGGGACAATCTCGACACATGGCTGACGGCCATGACGGCTAACTTCCTGCCCGAGGACGCTAGTGACTCAGAGCCTCGAGCCAAGAGCATCGCAGACGTGGACAAGCTGACGGCGCACAAACCAAGCCAAAGCTCCCACGACAAAGACCGGTCATACACGTCAACCTCACTTGCCAGCTCATCACACAAGAACGTCTCCACGAAAGGAGCCGCATCGCCCTGGAGCACAAAGTTGCAACGCTAAGGATGCAAGCCGAGGATGACAACGACCCCTAGCTACAAGAAGGAAGTGGAAAGACTTCAAACTGCCCTGTCTGATCTTCGTCGACACACAGACCGAAGAGAGCAGTCAGAGAAAAGAACCAGAGAGGAAATCAACGAGAAACTCCGACAAAGTGACGCCCCTTGCAAAGAGCAGAGACTGAACTTAAAGAGACTCGTAAGCCACAGCCTGCGAAAGAAACTCGCAAGAGGCCCGGGCCACAACCCACAAGCTCGTTCAGCAGAGACTGAACTAAAAGAAAGGGACACTAAAGCCAAGGCCTTTAAACACTTACGCACGGGCCGAGCTGAAATCCATGAACCTGCTCAACAGAGACACGATCTCAAAGACAAACTTAACATTTGTCCACACCGAGTTGAAACACTCTTATAGACTGCAGCATGACCGGAAAAGGGGAAACACACACCACAAGTTTCCCCTGACTGGTCTGCACCCTTCAGCCAAGAACCCAGAGCTGTAAAGAGGGGTTGAAAGCCCACTGTTCAAAACATCACCAGCCGCTGCGGCAGGCCTTCATTAAAGAATTCTCTGATCCAGAATCCGAAAAGACTTAAAAAAAAAAAAAAAAACACAATCTACTCTGTCTCTGAACACTACTCAGAGCTGCCTCTCGAGGGCGCCCCACCAAACCATCGCCCTGTTTACAGAGAGCCAAGACCATTCCAGCCTGGAGCGGTACCCCTCTCAACATGCCACTGGTAAGCACAAGTCTGAGCACACATCAGACAAACACAGTGCCGCCACGTCTCAGACAGCCGAGACACTGGAGTCGCTGAAAAGCTTCTTCACAAAAGACTTTCCAAAAAAATTCAAGAGGTACGAGCCTTACATCCTATGGCTGAGCGTCATACCTACAGCAGCACACAGCCACCACAGCTGACAGCTGCACAGCCTGAGCGAGACAGCACAATTTCCCACAGCTGGGTCCGAAACCCCAAAAGACCTGATCAAAAGGGGGGGGGGGTGGGCCCGGAAACTCTGCCTACCCATCACTCTAGACAATGAGGTGAGCCTTGAAACACGGGTAGACACCGGCTCAAACCTCACTCTAATGTCAGCTCAACTCTTTGAAAAAACTCAGTGCTAAAGCTAAGAGCGAAGATCGAACTCTTATACCCCAACTATGTGAGCTGAATGTGCAGTCATACAGCCAGAACGACCTCCGGCTCGGACAGAGAGCTCCCACTTACCTGACAATTGGTCCGTTGAGGCCTACCCACCCGGTGCACATCTCACAAATGGACATGTACCCCTTTCCGATGGGCAAAGACCTGCTAGAATGCTCTGAGCTTTGATTAGACTTCAAACACCTGACCGTCTGGGCCCAAGTTCAAGAACCCCGCCCCTCCAGTCACACAGGTCACCAAAGCCAGACTCCAAGGTCACAGAGTTCCCAGGAACTCCAGCAGCCATCCAGGAATGCACAGCCTCAGCACCAAGTCAAGGTTCAAGTTCGCGACCCTGCACCTTCCAGCTCGCCAAATACCACGCAATGCCCACTCAACGATGCGTGACCTAATGCAGAAGGCCTCCTCACAAAGACTTCCTAAAACCCCACTGACTTTGAACTGCACAAACTCTGCAAGACTCTTCTAAAAGGGTCCCTGATCAGCATAAGGACATAGAACTTTTATGAATAGACGAAAATGTGTGCTCAAAGAGACACAAGACTCTGCAATAGGAAAAATTAGACCTTTATTGATTTAAAGAAAATCTCGAATAGACGTGTGAGCCTCACCTGCAAAAAAACTATGCACGACTTTAAAAAAAAAAAAAAAAACTTTGCGACATGCTGGTTGAAATGACACTGCTAAACATTAGTTTCCATGACAATGAAGGGTTACGAGAAACACTAACTCCTAATTGAACATACGTCCCCTTTAACGCCAGAGTGTAGGAAAACTACCCCAGTTTTAAACTACTGTTAACCTACAGGCGTGCTTTTGGTCGTTGCGATCCAACCTGAACACAACGTGCAATACGCATTTTTGATCGCTGGCTTGTCTAAATGCAGATAAAACGATAGCTGGAATTGACATCTCTACTTTAAGTAAAATAGCCTTAGATTTCCAACTAAACTTAGCATGGTCGGCAGTAAAGCGTAAGTCTGTTTGACGAAGAAACCCCATCTCAGCAGCTTGTAAACTGTACCGATATCTATTCTGCTTTACTTAAAAGAAATCCAAATTGTAATATGACTAAACCTGTGTCTAACAAAGAAAGCTCAGGAAAAAGTTATATCTAGGTAGACCTGGGTGATGCTCCCCTTTCTACAAATGTAAAGGCCTTACAAATTATTGTTAGATTGATGTAATTCACCTAAATTTTACCTGCATCTACAAGCAGAGAACTACCTAGCGATTTAATACTGTTTCATCGCCGAAAAGTCAGCATTTATGCACGACAGGGACATAACTATATATGCTTGGACAAGCTTTGACTTCCAGCAAATCTATTTCCTTACTCTGTAAACAAATAGATTAAGTTGCGTAAAATAAAGAGAACAGTTCCACGAGTAGAATGAGCAAATGCCAAAACACATCTGCATTTTACTTAATGTAACACCGAGTTCTGGAAGGTCTTAAAATATAAGTGCCTCCTGTTAACCCGTTTAAACATGCATAATTCATGTAACATGTACAGACATTTTTCAGGGACTGTTGAATTGTCTGACATGCTCTGGTTCCCATGACAACAACCTGTCACAGGAAGTGCTAACTTGTGATGTCACTTTGTAAACAAACCAGCCTAGGTGGCTACGTTAACCTAGCATCCCTCCAGCTTACGCTAAGCTACGCTAAGCTAACCTAGCATCCATCCAGCTTAGGCTAAGCTAAATAATAACTTCTACAGTTAGCAGTTAGCATAATTTTCTTGAGCCCTTAATCACCGCTTGGCAAAGTATTCTAAAATACTTTCCGTAACACCAGTTAGGGTTTCTAATTATTCACTTCCCATGGTTTTGATCACGTTTATCCCCTTCTGCTTTTAATAAATAAAAAAAAAAATTTTTTTTTTTTTGCTCTTCTTTAAGTTTTTTTTGTTGTTCATTTCTTTGACTTGAATAATAATAGCAGTCAGTTATTCAGTCATCTATATGCTTTAATTTAATTTCCTCTCTTATTCAAATGTGGTTCCAGTCCCCATAGGGCCCAGAAAGGAAACAGAGACACCTGTACTTGTGATTGTGTTTATTTTCAACAAGCGCACTCATTTTTGTGACCCTGAAACACAAGTATTTCAGCACTTCACTAGGGCACAACTATAGTCCAGAGAATTGATAATAAGCATTATTCGAATAGGACAGCTGTCCTTTTTCCCCCTATCATTCACTTCGTCAAGCCGTAGTGACCCACTAGTTAAGTCCAGAGAAATAATTTCGTCTTAAGACAATTATTTCATCTCGGCTATCCCCTTCACAGGACATACTCTCGGAACCACATAAAGTCTTGGCCTCCTAACATCCACAGCTAAGATAAGGATACAAGACACACTTCACTAGCTAGCCACACGTGAAACGCCTAGCTTTATGCTACATACCTAGTGAACCCGTTAAACCGTGGTTCTGAACTTTTAGGGTCATGCATTAGTCTCTCCCCACAAGTGTGACAAAAATCACAGAGCCCCTGCTTCACCTGACCTTAACCTTTCAGCTTACCAAAGACTATGACAAAACAATGGACACTATGAGAAACCACCTCTCATCCCCTCCAACCACCCACGGACGCCGTCTGCAAAAAACCGACGACCGGTGCTTCAGCCAACCTGCGTCAACAAGCACATGCTGCGTGCACTAAACAACATTCAGCGTTCTGCACCTGATGCCATCACCGCGCCACAGCTTGTGATGCCACAGTGCAAAAGGGGGGTAATGCCAATGTATGCCGCTGCACGCCGCAGCACCAGAGACACTTGCAAGACACCGAAGCAAGTGGCATACCGGCGTTCTCAAAGCGAAAAGACTGTCCTAGCCAAAAGGACGAGACTCGCTGAAATTTTTCCTCCCTTTCTCTCTTTCTCTCTCCCTTTCACTTTTACCAGGATGCTGCTGTGCCTCCAGACAACCAGAGGGCAACCGCAATCGGACATCTCACCAGGTCTGGCACCAGGACTCCTTTTCTGCCGGACCCGCACTCAGAAAGTGAATGTGCCACCTGATCCTCACAACGCCTACAGAACACACTACCCCAGCGTAACAACACAATACAGCTGGGTAGGTGCCGATGGACAAAGGACTCCCGCACTCACGCTGAGACCGTGGTTGAACACATGCTCAAGCAACTTGAGAAAATGACTGTCACGCTAGCGGTGAGAAAATGACTGTCACGCTAGCGGAGCCAGGTGGCCACAACCACCGCCGCACTGCCGTCAGAACTCTGTTTAACACTTGTATGTCCAGCATGAATGCAGCAAACCTTGCCAACGTGGGACGGCATGTAGCCGAAATTCAGACTGAGATTCCACAGATAAAAGAGCACTCACAACAGAGTGCATCCCTGCAGACCATCGACAAGACACTAAAGGGAACTGTGGTAACTTTCAACACTCACAGCGTTGAACCCCATGCACTCCAACACTCACTCCATGAAACAGCTGTTTACTGTCTTCCAGAATGACTTTGCTCAAACTCAGCTGGTAACAGCCCTGATGACAAACCTGCTGCAGGGGGTGAACTCCTCCATCGACAGCCTCGCCAGGGGTAGAATTCCACCGCACCTGATACCCTTAAGCCTCGTGAAAACCGTGCTGGCGTCCGCCATCACCACGCCAACTGACTCTTTACAAATACACCTTTCCTACTCTCTGGGTAGGGCCATCCCTCTCTGCGTCGACTACAAGCAGAGAAGGGGGGGGGGCTTTCTCTCGAACTTGCCCATCATAGAGTCAAGCCGAATCTACCGGCTCAAGAACATTGTCAAGGTCAGATTTTGAAAAGTAACATTCACATCAAGATCCACACGCCGGACGGGGTTGACTGCAACGACAGCAACACAAAGCCGTCCTAAGCTCCGAACCCGTACGTGTGCACATTGACCAAAGAAATTCACTATCTCTGCCCTAACAAGCCTTTCCTCAGAGACAACACTGACGGAATCTGCGGGCTGCAGATCAGCGACACCCGCTGCCCTGCCGAAGCCAAGCCACGCACTCAAGGCATCAAGACCCAAGCAGAGAGTGTAAGTGACAGGCGGCTCGCTAACACTCCTGTGCGCACAGCTGCACTCACTTATGACCAGAATGACACTGACACCTGTGTCACCTCGCTCCACTAGAGCCTGTGAATCCAAGCACCGAAAAGTGCCATCCTTCACCGTGACGACCTGGCATGGTACCATCTTCCATGCAAAGAGTACAAATTAAACTGGAAATCCCATCCTTCTCCAGGAACCACACGTTCACCCTAACTCCAGAACGGGAGTTGTGGTTTGCGAAAGGGGGGGTGATCCCAGCTAATTGACATTGCTCCTATCGAAACAGCCCTCCAAGCATTGTCTCGACTACCCATTCTGACTACCTCACCTGTTGTCCAAGCCTGGACCGCAGCCGACACTGCACGGTGTACCTCTATGGTAGTCAGACACACCCTGACACTGGGCTTGACCTTCATCCTATACAGGAGACTCAACGAGATACAAAAAATCTTCAGCCAAGTTCACGAAAGGTTTCGGACGAAACCCGCAAAAAGGGGGTGCCAAGTCAGAGACCAGGCCAGAGGCAGCTTCGAACCTCATAGAGCTGAATCCTCAGCCTTAACAGCAACCTGCTACCCGATCATCATGATTCACCTGTCATCCGTCCATTGGGATGATTGTGTCCGATGATGTCCACACCGGGACTTCATCAGACAAAAAGGGGGACTGTAAGGACTGGGCTAAAAGGGTGAATCTGAAAGGACTAAATACATCCTGCTAAAGACCCAAAAAGCCTGGAATGTAAATTTACACACACACACACACGCACGCACGCATCCCCCACAAGTGAAGCCTGCTCAGGACAGAGCGTGGTTTCCTGTTACGAGACACTTGTATGACTGACTTGGAATTTGATGTTCAAAGAGAAAGAAACTTCTTTTCTTTAAAAGACATTTAACCCGATATATTCGATGTGTTTTTATGTGTGTCCATTTGCCCATGTCACATTGTAATGACTATAATTTGTCCGTAACTTAAAAGTGAATTATAAATACCCTAGGTGTATTTTTAATGTAAATGTTTACCTATAACAGTCGTGTTTGATATCGTAAAAATGCCCTGGACTTGACTCAGCCAGATATATGTATGAACACACCGTAAAAGGTATGATTATGTGCATAACACATCTCTGCAGTAGAAATGACCCTTCCTAACACAGGTCATAATTTAATTAGACAAGCAGTCTGACAAGACAAAGAGAAATAAAACCCAAAGTCCCGCCTGTAAACTTCCAACCCTCTAACTGGCCAAGCCAACAGGAAGAGGTATAAATAAATGATAAATGACGCTTCTCCCCTTCGCTCTCTCTTTTCCTCCCGTGTCCTCGTGTCATGATGTAACGTCTCGCCTCCGGGCGAGTTCTTCGCCTTTCTTTTATTTGTTTCTAGTTTAGTTTGTGTTTTTCAGTTGTAGATAAGTCTCTGTGTTTAATTCCAATCGACGATTGAAAAGAAAACCCCGTGACATATCTCTTCAGCAAATCCATCTACAAGGGACCTTTAAACGAGCGCGCGCTCGCTTTGAAGGAGAAACACGCGCACGTGACCGCGTGACGCGCCGGACCGAGCGAAGCACGCGCTTCTTCGCCAGCCATGCACAGATGGAACATTAACTCCTCGTGATTCCTCCGTTCTACGAAGTGAAACGAACTCAGCCGAACTATTTTCCTTTGGTAATGTTACCCCAAAGACTGTGAACCTCCGTTCAACACGCGCGCCAAGCAGCCCACGTGATGCTTCCTCACACACAAAGGAATCCTCTCACGCACGCGGCCAGACAAGGCCGCGCAGGATTGCCGCGACACAGAGAGAGACCATAACATAAGTTGATTGCAAGTATAATCTCTTTATAGAGCTTCTAAGAAGTTTTAAGATGATGTTTCGTGTTGTAATCGGAGAGGTGAATGTCTTCCTGCCAATGAAATTCTCCCAATTTCTCTGTTCTCTCTCTCCCCATCCCCTTTCCTCTCTCTCTTACTCGCTCACGCGTGTACGTTATCCATTGTCCAGACTTTATGCATTTCTCGTTCATTGATTTCTTATTGTATTGTTCATTGTTGTCTATGTGTTTGTAAATACATATATCCCATGTAACCGTAGTAAATACATAAGTAGTCATGCCTCTATTAAATTAATTATATATTCATTAGATTGATGTGCTGTCTCTTTGCTCAATTTCAAGTCACTTAAGTGCCAAAGGTCTAACTTATGCTACAAGCTTTACGAATTAAAGATACTTTAAAGAGTAACGTTATGTGTTGATAGGGCGGAAAACCCAATTCTTCTGGCCAGAGAATTGCGTTTCCTGAAATCCTATAAAGTAAGATGATATTGTGGATCCCACAAATATTATCCTGACAGTTGAGCTAATTCATTTTACCTGTTTGTGAAACATGGTCCGTGTAATTAACTACAATCAACTTGTGGTTAATTTCCGGGATTCACACGTATGCATGCAGGTAAAATGACAGATCCTCCCTTAGAGGGAGATTAAATTTAATGTAAGACTGATCTAATCCAAACATGTATGAATAATTATTAATTACCAATTATTAATTATGATATGCAAATTCCCCACGGATTAGATCCGCCCTGAATCCTTACAAAATCATAATCGTATTAAGAATTAATTTTGCAAAGCCATCCTGTGCTTGAAACCGTGCAATTGGGCCGAAGACTTTTTACATTGAGAACAATTAATTATAAAACAAGACAAACTGAAATGAGGAAGCTGACCCAAACACTAATATCATAACATAACAAATACCTGCAAATGGAGCCATACACTGATGTCCACATCCATTGCTGCAGCATTTCTCATTGTTCGGACAGTCACTGTCATAGTAACACAACTCGGCACAAGTTTCTGCTCCAAAATTTGTGCTTGGACACTCTCCTGGCTTTGCTGTTATAGAGACACATGACAGAGAAGCCACATCACACATCACTGAATAATGAATGTCTCATTCACTGTATGAAAATAAAAAAGTTGTCATAAGATGATTGTAGGAGGATTTACCAGAATATTCAGTCTATCTACTTCATAGTTTCACGTTTAGTTCAATGTGTTACTTGTGGTTTCTTTGCAATTATTTGTGAAACTTACTGCGATTTCTGAGAGAAAAAAAAAATCAGTGGTTTTTTTGGAAGACGTATAGCATCCATCATTAATTAAAACTCACTGAAAACAGGCGGCACACACGAGCGCCCACAGGGAAATTGACAGCATTTGTGTCCTCCAGAGCAGTCTCTATCAGAAGTGCATCCTCGACGGGACGGCACGACCGTCAGCATCGCCGGACACTGACCGGAGACTACAGAAGAGGATTCAAGAGGATCATTAGGGGAGACCAGGAAGTGCTGTAATAGTTTGCTTCAGCATTTGCAAGTTGGGGGTTTTGCAATGCGTCTCAAACTTTATAATATTCACACATTTATCTGCTTCAATTCAAAGTAGCTTAGAAATCTACCATTTTTCACTAAAGTGCATCAATCAGTTTCAAAGACTGAGAGTGCGGTTACAACCTACCCCACTATAGTAGAGTTAGTAATAGTGCAATGCTGATAGAAAACATGGACATCAGTTAATATGTTGTATACAAATTAACTGGTGTACATCTTCAAAAATTATGCTATCCCCATGACCACCCTCATTTCCTTTAAGCATTTTAATAGGCTTCTCAACAGAAAACAAATAGACGCGCACTATATATAACGCAGAGTTATCGGTTATAATTAGCTCCCATGGGCTGATGAATTTCTTAAAAAAAAAAAAAACTTTAGGTAAAAGTTTAAACTCAGGATTGATACAGTCTGGTAACAATTTTGTAGCCATATTATAACTCTAATGTTCTTGTTTTACAGTAAACAAAAATGCCTATATTAGTGATTATATGGGTTTTACTTGATACTTTGCTTATTATTAAAACTAAACCAACATACAAAGTTGAACTTCCACTTGACGTCTGTACTGTATTTTCGGAAGCAGATGTGTCTAAAATCAAATTTTGTAAGGCACTTTATTTATGCACTTCTTCGGGCTGCGTAATGAAGCTAAAAGAACTTCTCACCTAGGACTCCAGCGTGTGTTGTGCTCAAACAAGCAGACATACACAATAAAACCGCACTAAACAAGCAGTACACTTGAGCTGTCATCCTCTCGACCTGCGATCTCACAATCAACTCTGCTGGAAGATGCACTGAATTAGTGAGTCAGCAGGGGCGGACAGCGAGGACCACAAAACTACAAAGGAAAACCCTGTTGCTGCATCAAAATACCATCTGAGTCCCACAACAAACGCTATCAAAAAAATTTGAAGCACTTTTTGAAAATGCGTTTTTAAAGATCCAATTGGAGTTCTGGGTAACTCCAACCCTAATGAAAATCACCTGTCTGTAGCTTTCTAATATAGCCTAATCTTGAAGACCTTGATTAGCTTGTTCAGGTGTGTTTGATTAGGGTTGGATGTCGTAATAATAACCGTAATTTGGAGATGATTGATTGTTTTTATGGCAACACTATCAACGCCAAATGAATCTGCAGTGGTCAGGTGGTACAGCGATCACGTGGTACAAGTCGGAGTTCTACCACAAGTTACAAGTTGTAGTTATGACTAAACTCCTAAACTCTCCAGGAAATGGATCTCTACTGGAGACTGGCATAACTCTGCATTGAACATCGTTATTAAACAATGTTATTAAAAATGATAGCCTGCAAGAAGATTTTCGATCCAAATTGTCTGTACGCTGATTTGCAGTGAAAAGGAGAAAATAACAAACAGATTATGCTGGAGGAAAGGGTTGGGGAGACGAGGGGAGCAAGGATTGTGTGTTGTGCAAAGAGAGTTGGGGGTAAATACATTTTACAATGTGCTGCTGGTCAAGCAAATGTTTGTGCTTTGTTTCTGTTAAAATACTGATATTCTGGTCTATAACTCTTCCCCGAACATCCCGCTGTCCTGTAGTTTTCAGTCAGAATACATTCACACAGCAGGATTTTGAATCGCCGACAGGTCCAGATATTTAGCATGCCAAATATCTCACGGGTGTCGGCGACTCATCTGCGATTCTCTCAGATCGCGTCGTTGATAATTCACACTGCGTGATTGTCACTCGCGTGAACGAGCACCGATTTGCCTATGGTTTCGGGCATTTGTTGGCGATCTCCCAAAACCTGTCGGCGAATGAAACTCGTTCAGTGTGAACTCGGCATAAGCGATTTAAAGCGTAACTCTTCAGCTCCTGTAGTGTCTCTATTGTCTTCACTGATGTCCGAACATTCAGAATGCAGAAGACTATTGGTCAATAGGCAATACCGCTTGAAACTTTACATCCTATAGCAATCAATAATAGAAGTGTTCTAAATATTAAAACAAGCAAATATCTTCTGTAGAGTTCTCAGGACCAAAAAAAATAATGTTCGTCCAATCATTGCATTTGGATTCAGACTTGGATTTATGCATTTCCATGTCAACACTATCAACGCCAAAATGAATCTGCATCAGTCAGGTGGTACAACTAGAGCACCGCACATCGTTTACGTTCATGATCACGGTAATGTTATGCATTTTGATACATGAGGCAATTTAACGCAGTCTTTCGTCTCGTGACACTTTGCAGACTCTGCTGTGTGGGGTTTCAGGCGTTTTGAAGGAGGGTGGGATCTCATGCATAGATTCCAATGAGCCATTATGTGAGAGAACAGCCAAACTAACACTGGCATACCAAAAACACCAAATTCTTTGTTTTCCCACTTAAAAAAAAAAAAGAACAAAAAGAGGAATTAGTCAGACAAGTGTGAGATTTATTTGGTGATACAGGAAAAACAAACCATACATCCAATGGTTAAATCAGCACAGTTAACTGCATGCATATCCACATTACTTATGGCCAGGACATTGGCCATAAGGGTGAGTTTGGTGACAGTTTTCGGCACACACTGGAGGCTTTGGCAATTCAGCAGCAGGCTTCACTGGAGGCTTGGGCAATTCAGCTGCAGGCTTCACTGGAGGCTTGGGCAATTCAGCTGCAGGCTTCACTGGAGGCTTGGGCAATTCAGCAGCAGGCTTCACTGGAGGCTTGGGCAATTCGGCAGCAGGCTTCACTGGAGGCTTCGCGGGTTCGGCAGCAGGCTTCAATGGAGGCTTCGCGGGTTCGGCAGCAGGCTTCAATGGAGGCTTCGCTGGAGGCTTCGCGGGTTCGGCTGCAGGCTTCACAGGAGGCTTCGCGGGTTCGGCTGCAGGCTTCACAGGAGGCTTCGCGGGTTCGGCTGCAGGCTTCACAGGAGAATTCGCGGGTTCGGCTGCAGGCGGCTCTGGCAGTTCGTCGGAAGGCTCCAGCAGTTCGGCAGAAGGCTCCGGCTCAGGCAGTTCGGCAGAAGGCTCCGGCATTTCGGTAGAAGGCTCCGGCAGTTCGGCAGAAGGCTCCGGCTCAGGCAGTTCGGCAGAAGGCTCCGGCATTTAGGTAGAAGGCTCCGGCAGTTCGACGGAAGGCTTCGGTGGTTCGGCTGCAGGCCTCACTGCAGGCTTCACTGGAGGCTTCGGTTCTGCTGCAGGCTTCATTGGAGGCTTCGGAGGTTCGCCTGCAGGCCTCACTGGAGGCTTCGGCGGTTCGACTGCAGGCTTCACTGGATGCTTCGGCGGTTCGCCTGCAGGCTTCACTGGATGGATACAGATAGTCAACTTTAGTCTGTCTGTTTAGCGGCATTCAGTCTCAGATACAGCACAGTACCCAAATAGCAAGTTTTACTCCTCTTAATTATTAAATCATAATCGTATTAAGAATTAATTTTGCAAAGCCATCCTGTGCTTGAAACCGTGCAATTGGCCTGAATACTTTTTACATTGAGAACAATTATTTATAAAACAAGACAAACTGAAATGAGGAAGCTGACCCAAACACTAATATCATAACATAACAAATACCTGCAAATGGAGCCATACACTGATGTCCACATCCATTGCTGCAGCATTTCTCATTGTTCGGACAGTCACTGTCATAGTAACACAACTCGGCACACGTTTCTGCTCCAAAATGTGTGCTTGGACACTCTCCTGGCTTTGCTGTTATAGAGACACATGACAGAGAAGCCACATCACTGAATAATGAATGTCTCATTCACTGTATGAAAAAAAAAAGTTGTCATAAGATGATTGTAGGAGGATTTACCAAAATATTCAGTCTATCTACTTCATAGTTTCACGTTTAGTTCAATGCGTTACTTGCGGTTTCTTTGCAATTATTTGTGAAACTTACTGCGATTTCTGAGAGAAAAAACAAATCAGTGGTTTTTTTGGAAGACGTATAGCATCCATCATTAATTAAAACTCACTGAAAACAGGCGGCACACACAAGCGCCCACAGGGAAATTGACAGCATTTGTGTCCTCCAGAGCAGTCTCTATCAGAAGTGCATCCTCGACGGGACGGCACGACCGTCAGCATCGCCGGACACTGACCGGAGACTACAGAAGAGGATTCAAGAGGATCATTAGGGGAGACCAGGAAGTGCTGTAATAGTTTGCTTCAGCATTTGCAAGTTGGGGGTTTTGCAATGAGTCTCAAACTTTATAACATTCCTACATTTATCTGCTTCAATTCAAAGCAGCTTAGAAATCTACCATTTTTCACTAAAGTGCATCAATCAGTTTCAAAGACTGAGAGTGCGGTTACAACCTACCCCACTATAGTAGAGTTAGTAATAGTGCAATGCTGATAGAAAACATGGACATCAGTTAATATGTTGTATACAAATGAACTGGTGTACATCTTCAAAAATTATGCCATCCCCATGACCACCCTCATTTCCTTTAAGCATTTTAATAGGCTTCTCAACAGAAAACAAAACAAATATAGACGCGCACTATATATAACGCAGAGTTATCGGTTATAATTAGCTCCCCATGTTATATTGTAGGCTTATGAATTTCTTAAAACAAAACTTTAGGCAAAAGTTTAAACTCAGGATTGATACAGTCTGGTAACAATTTTGTAGCCATATTATAACTCTAATGTTCTTGTTTTACAGTAAACAAAAATGCCTATATTAGTGATTATATGGGTTTTACTAATTGATACTTTGCTTATTATTAAAACTAAACCAACATACAAAGTTGAACTTCCACTTGACGTCTGTACTGTATTTTCGGAAGCAGATGTGTCTAAAATCAAATTTTGTAAGGCACTTTATTTATGCACTTCTTCGGGCTGCGTAATGAAGCTAAAAGAACTTCTCACCTAGGACTCCAGCGTGTGTTGTGCTCAAACAAGCAGACATACACAATAAAACCGCAATAAACAAGCAGTACACTTGAGCTGTCATCCTCTCGACCTGGGATCTCACAATCAACTCTGCTGGAAGATACACTGAATTAGTGAGTCAGCAGGGGCGGACAGCGAGGACCACAAAACTACAAAGGAAAACCCTGTTGCTGCATCAAAATACCATCTGAGTCCCACAACAAACGCTATCAAAAAAATTTAAAGCACTTTTTGAAAATGCGTTTTTAAAGATCCAATTGGGAGTTCTGGGTAACTCCAACCCTAATGAAAATCACCTGTCTGTAGCTTTCTAATATAGCCTAATCTTGAAGACCTTGATTAGCTTGTTCAGGTGTGTTTGATTAGGGTTGGATGTCGTAATAATAACCGTAATTTGGAGATGATTGATTGTTTTTATGGCAACACTATCAACGCCAAATGAATCTGCAGTGGTCAGGTGGTACAGCGATCACGTGGTACAAGTCGGAGTTCTACCACAAGTTACAAGTTGTAGTTATGACTAAACTCCTAAACTCTCCAGGAAATGGATCTCTACTGGAGACTGGCATAACTCTGCATTGAACATCGTTATTAAACAATGTTATTAAAAATGATAGCCTGCAAGAAGATTTTCGATCCAAATTGTCTGTACGCTGATTTGCAGTGAAAAGGAGAAAATAACAAACAGATTATGCTGGAGGAAAGGGTTGGGGAGACGAGGGGAGCAAGGATTGTGTGTTGTGCAAAGAGAGTTGGGGGTAAATACATTTGACAATGTGCTGCTGGTCAAGCAAATGTTTGTGCTTTGTTTCTGTTAAAATACTGATATTCTGGTCTATAACTCTTCCCCGAACATCCCGCTGTCCTGTAGTTTTCAGTCAGAATACATTCACACAGCAGGATTTTGAATCGCCGACAGGTCCAGATATTTAGCATGCCAAATATCTCACGGGTGTCGGCGACTCATCTGCGATTCTCTCAGATCGCGTCGTTGATAATTCACACTGCGTGATTGTCACTCGCGTGAACGAGCACCGATTTGCCT